CTTAAGAAATAATAAAAAAGGACTACCAGTAAAGATAGTTGAAGAGAATTCTGGTAAGAGGGAGCTAGAGGACAATGATTCCTCACAAAACTCGGTTGAGAAGCTACTGCAGAGAAAAAAGAAGATTTCCAAGTTAGTTGATAGGATAGAGAAACAAAGAAAGAATCAAGTAGAAGAGCTTGGTTTCGATAACTTTTACAAGGACAAAGACTGGAGACTAGCTATGGATGAAGAAACCAAGATGATCAACAAAAATCAGACTTGGTATCTCAAAAAAAAAACAACAAGGATGCATTCAAAACAAGGAAATCGATTCCAGAAAACTAATGAGTAGAAATCAAACGATTCATTTTCAAATAATTCAGAGTAATAAACAGTTTTTCACAATATTGATTCAACTTTTTTTTTGGTATTCTGAGAACAATTCTAGTTTTTTGCTCAAACATCACAAAATCCAACAAAAGAAAAAGAGAGAGAAAGAGAGATTTCTCATGAGGTTTGATTTTTAAATTATTTTTTTCTTTTTTTTTCATTGAAGGATAGAGAAAATACTTTTAAAAATTAAATAAGTATTCAAAAATAGAAACGGAGGCACATTAAATCATTAAGGGGTCATTTAAAGATGAGAATTTGTTGTAAATAAAGAAGAAATTAATGTTCTCAGTAGTTGACCATTTAGATCCGCCTCTTGTCGTAATAGTTGGTAAATTTGTTGTTGTTGTTATAAACCAAATATGCTAAAATGTTAAAATCGCAATAATAAAGCTTTCACTATTTTCAATTTATACAACCTTTGCATGTTGTTGTCAATGATATTTTCTTAGTTAAGTAATCTTATTATTGTTATTTTGCAAGTTTTCTTAGATTGGTGAAAAGTTTTTTTAAACTAGGTCATTTGGTGAAGACTTCACTTTCAAAAAGTGTTTTTCCGATACTGTTTTGTCTGATGAAGACTTCGCTTTGAATTCACAGAGGCTCTAAACACCACTTTCTTTGATGAAGTCTCTTATTCTTTTTTCTGCTCTTGCTTTTTTTACATTATTTCTTCTTTATTAATATTTAACATTTCTTTGATATCTATCTAGAAAGAGGAAGAAGTTCCTAGATATATACCTGAGTCGGTTACAGTTCGCTATGTTGAAGATTAGCAAATGTTGTTTGGACGGGAAAGAGGAAAAGATGAATTCAACGAAGATCTTAGGAAACTGCTTTCTAAAGGTCATGTGACTACCAGAATTCCCATCTATCATTGCTTCTCCCAGCTCAATGGAACGGTTAGTATAGCATGATCAACTGTTGTGTTATTTTTTCTGTTTTGTAGGATCCGTAATAAACTGTCTTATTTTCGTCTGTCATATTCAATTGTGCATCAGCCATATTCTGTTTTGTAGAATCTGTAATAAACTGTCATATTCCCATCTATTTTGTTTCATCTGTCTTATTCTTGTCTGTGATATTTTTTGTTTTGTTTTGTAGAATCTGTAATAAACTGTCATATTCCCATCTATTTTGTTTCTTTTCTTAGGTTTTTGGAACTTCTTACCACTTTTTAGGAACTTATCGGTTGTAACTTCATCGGAAACAAGAACATGAAAACCATATTATAATCTCATATCGATTGACATACCAAATGGGCCTATAGACGGAACACTTGCTTCAATCGCAATAACGGCACAAAAATCAATTGGCGGCTGAGTAGGGAGTTTATGAGTAAATGGGCCTAATCCAGGCCTGAACCCAATCCTTTGTTCTTAGAGATATTTTACACGAAAAGGAAAATTACGTCCCCAAACCAGAAAAGGAAGAAACAAATCGGTTATAAATACCTAAATGCAAGCATGTCGAGTATGTGCATTTTTTTTTTCAAGTTATCAAATGCTAACCCAAACAAGACTTGCTCTTGTCTTTGTTAAATTTTACAGCATAGCTCTCGTTTTTATGCTGGGAGAAGACGCAGTGAACAAGGCGCTGGTACTTAGTGGAAGTGATGTGGGAGGATCGATTATGGTAGTTACTCTGGTTTCGCCGCAATCAAAAATAAGGGGCAAGAACATATTTGGCTATACTCTCTCACGTACGTACATTAACTCGTCGTTTGTTTTAGGTAACAAGGTTAAAATGACTGAGGCGGAGAAAGCTGTATGTGTTTCATCGGATGAAGATGAAGAATAATAAGAATATGCAGTAGAAAGGGAGCAGGAAGGTCACAATAAGCTCTTTGGTGTGTGTTTGGGTTTGTTGTCTGGAATTATAAGTAACTTCGCTAATGCTTTTATTGTAACTAAGTATCATGTTTTTATATGGATGTTTAAACTAAGCCCAATAATAGTTATCTGCCGAGTACGATTCGATTGATTGGTAACATTTATAATCAGCATCAGCTTTAATGCTTATTGTTCATGTAATCAAATCCTCTCAATGATTGTTCAAATGCAACAAAAGTATACTTAAACTTTTCCGCAGGATCTCTCTAGGAAATATTTTGAACCTGGATTCGTCTCTTGAACCTTACACAGCCACTTAGATAAGTTTAAATAGCTTTCTTCAGAAGTTTTTCTGACCAAATTCTGAGCATGCTCTTTCTTCCTCCAACTCAACTTGGATATTGATTCAAATTTTTTCTTTTGGTATTCTGAAAACAATTTTAGGTTTTTGCTCAAACATCACAAAATCCAACAAGAGAAAGAGAGAGAGAGAGATTTCTCATGAGGTTAGATTTAAATTTTTTTTTTTCATTGAAGGATAGAGAAAATAAAAATACTTAAAATAAATAAGTATTCAAAAATAGAAATGGAGGGACATTAAAGAGGGTGTATTCAACTTAATGATTTGGAAGGATTTGAGTTTTAATGAGTTTTTAGATAATTTAATTGAATTATAAAAATTGTTATGATTTGATATAAAAATTATATTAAACTCTACCTAAAACTATGAGATTTGAATTCTTATATTCTTTTTTTTTTTGAGAAATAATTCTTATATTCTTAACTAGGAAATTTCATCAAAATATTTTAAAATCAGTCCTAGTTTCTTAAAATTCACTAATTAAATTATTTCCAAGAACAATGAATTTGAAGATAAATTTTCAAATCACTAGTTCAATAATACTGAACTTTAAACAATTTTTTAAAAAATTATGTTTCAATAACAGAGGATTTATTATTTTAATACAAATTACTCTAAATATTATTTTGAATACACCCCTGAAAATCATTAAGTGGTCATTTCAAGAATTTGTTGTAAATAAGGAAGAAAATAATGTTCTCAGTAGTTGGCCATTTAGATCCACCTCTTATCGTAGTAGTTGGTAAAATTGTACTCCGCGATTTCTTATGGGCACAAGCATCCCAGGTAATTAAGTCTGCTTTGGTAATGAGAAGCTTGAGCTGCTTAGCTATGGGGAATTCCATTTGTACTGTTGTTTCCATTCTATTAATTGCCTGGGGAATCCTGTTTATCCCTCTAAGCGAATGGCTTTGTTTGTCCTGCATTTGTTGCTAACTGTCGGGTAATCCTATAGTTAGAAGAACCCTTGTTTTCTGTTGATTGATGAGCTCCACCTTTCCAACGAGACAACTCTCCACCGCTAGTGAATAAGTTTATCGATCGTCAGAACACGCTCATTCTTCAGCTGTAGAGAAACAACCTCATTAGATGAGAAGGTAGTTGACTGCACCAGCCATTTCCGTCTTCCTTTGTGAGGAATAACCATTTGAGTTGTTGTTATAAACCAAATATGCTAAAATGTTAAAATCACAATAACAAAGCTTTCACTATTTTCAATTTGTACAACTTTTGCAGGTTGTTCTCAACGATATTTTCTTAGTTAAGTGATCTTATTATTGTTATTTTGCAAGTTTACTTAAATTGGTGAAAAGTTTTTTTAAACTACGTCATTTGGTGAAACTTCACTTCTGATATTGCTTGGTCTGGTTTTTAGAGCAAATATATCTAGAGCAGAGCAAATAAGATAATGATTAATTATAACTTTCAAAAGGTTCATTTATTAAATTTTTAAGAAAAAAAAATCCATTTATTTCAAAATCTTTTTTTAGTGACATGGATGCTTTTAGCTTCACTCTTCGAACCTTGTCTCCAATGTTGCTCGAGATCGTCTTAACGCAAGTTAACGACATGTGTTGGGCTATCGTCTTGATACGACAATTCGAATACCTCTGGGACACAGAAAAAATAAAAGAGATCCCATGGTCATAGCATGCTCTTCACAGGATATGGACGTGATGACACAAGTCACCGCTATTTTGAGTTTCAGGATACCAACAGAGTTAATCAGGGTGACAATGGCTTCTTACGCATCTCTCCAAAAGCCTATCTGATTACTCATTTTGTTGAAATGTCTTTTGAAGTGAAAACAAATGAGTGAGTGTGATGGAGATCACAGAAGTTGATAGACGTTTTTCTTTTTTTAGGTTTTTGGAACTTCTTACCATTCTTTTTGGAACTTATCGGTTGTAAGGCTATAGAGTAGAAAGGTCTTTCCCTCTTGGGACAAGAAGAGGCTTTTTGGTCTGGATGTTATAAGTAACTTCCCTAATGCTTTTACTGTAACCTAAGTATGATGTTTTTATCTGGATACTTAAGCTAATATCAAGTTCTACAACAAAGGTTTGGTCTGAGTCTCTGAGATCACAGAGATATACCGTACAAAACTATTGTTACGTCAAAGAAGTTAATGGGCCTTTATAACAATAAATCCTTAATATAAAAGGCCCAACTTTAAACCCATGAAGAAGTCCCGTTTACAAAATAATAATTTTATCTCTCTAGAAAACAGCAGCCAAAGCACACGCACGCTCATCATCCCTCTCTCTCCAAAAATCCTTTCATCTGCTGCAAACAAACTCTTTTGTAAATTCGGTATCGACTCTCAAATTTCCCCAAATTTTACCCGCGAAAATTGTGAGATTTTAATTCCCTTTTTCGAATTTCTAAACCCATTTTCCTCTGAGAGAACCCAAATCTCCCTCTCTTTCTTCTAGGGTTTCTCTCTCGCTCCTCGGATGGATGCTGCGGCTAGTGATGTACCGGTGAATCTCGGATCCGTCGTAATGACTCCGGTGGTTGAAGAAAAAAATGAAGACGGAGGGGAAGAATCGGTGGCTCCACCGTCGAAGAAGCCACGTTTCGACGAGGAAGTGAATAGAGTGGCGGAGATTGTGCTTGTGCTATCGGCATTGCGGAGGATTCGAGGAGGGAAAAGCCCGACGGAGTTGGAGCTGGAGCTGATGGTGGAAGCGAAGTCGAAATTGGCAGAGATGTGTCAGGAGTTTACTCCAAAGGATCTTATTGGTAGGGATGCTATCGGAGCCGTGATTGAAGATCTGGGTTTGAATGGTAAGCTTAAGGATCAGAGATTAGGATTCCGAGCACCTAAATTAACCATCTCCGAGAAGCTATCTCTTGGGAAGAGAAAGGTTTGTTTTCAAATCTCTTCACTACAATCCATATTGCTTTGAATTGCTCGGCGAATCTATCATTTCTTGCTTTGAATTGCTCGGCGAATTGAATTCAATTGATCGATTGAAACAAAAATATTGTGTTGGTTTTAGATTTAATCATGACGCAGTTTCTTTAATGATATCTTTTCAGATGGAAGAATCCAAAAAGCACCCAATAGTATCCACTACCTATACATCTCCAGGTCAATAATCTATGCTTACACTCAGTTTTTCAACTACTCATAAACTTCAGGAGTCTTGACAATCTTCTCCGCTATGTTATGTTCTCTGCAGCAAATAATGTTCCTGTGGCACATCAGTGGCCTAATAGTGAATTGAAGGCATCCACTAGCTCTGTTAATGCATCTGGAAGCCATCTCGTTAGGGATGCATCAGGAGTAACACAGTCTAGAATCGAGAGACCACAGTTTAAGCCAGATATGCATTCCGCTGCTTCTCAGGGACCAGGTAACTTCACCTTGCATACCCTAACGTTTTGGTTTCATTTTATATCGTCAGCTCCAAGAATTAGCTCAGATTTGGTTTTGGCTGGTGAATGTTTTTGGTCATTTGGTTGATTTGCTATGGTTTAATATTGTACATTAGACTTGTAGAAAACTTAATAGAGTTGCTCATATTAAGTACTAACCATGGTTTGGTTTGAAGTTATTATCTAACCCTCCAAGCTCAAGTGTGTTTTGTAAGTTCAGCTGTCTGTAGAAAGCTTACTGGTGTCTTCTGCATCTGTATATTCTCTTTCTGATTATGTTTCTTGGTTTTTTGTTTGCTCTCTGCGAATTTGAAATGTCTGTGAGGTTTTCATTTTGAGTTCGATTTGAGTTTCATATCTTCTTTTTCGTGTTAATTGTGGAAAAGTATCTGTCTATCATCGCCAAATTTTTACTCTCTTCTTTCAAACCAACAGTTCCTGCTGGAAATTATTTTGGGAATACTACATCTTGGTCTGCTCAACCTCCTTCCAGTTCAACCATATCATTTGGTGCTCCATCAGAGAGCAAAGTTCATGCTCCGAGTTCTTCAAGAGTCACAGATCCGAGCTTTAGACCATTCATGTCTCACACGCAGCCAGGAACATTCACAGGCATGAAAGGAGTGACTTATGGTCAGACTTCTTCTTCACCTTTTGGAAACAACCACCATGCTGAAATTGCAAAGATAATCCATAAAGTTCTGCAGCCGCGGGCTAAACAAAATGTCTTGTGGAATCCACCTTCAAGAGAGTATATGAGTAAAGCAATGACATGCCAGATGTGTCAAGGAACTGTCAACGAAGTAGACACGGTGCTAATATGTGACGCCTGTGAAAAAGGATATCACTTGAAGTGTCTACAGGCTAACAATATTAAAGGTATTCCAAAATCTGAATGGCATTGCTCAAGATGTGTGCAATTATACAATGGGAAGTCTTTTCCTCCTAAATATGGTCGTGTTATGAGAAGCGCCACTACAGCGAAAATGTCTTCTAGTTCAGCCGAAGTTCAGTTACCCACAGAGAAGAAGGTTGGTAAAATCAATCTGAAGCTTAAGCAAGAGGCAATGCCTCATCCTGAGACAGAAAAACCAACCGAAGATTCAGCTGTAAATCGAACAGTTGAAGCTGAAGACGCAGCAGCAGCTATAAGCCGAGCAGTTGAAGCGCAAGATGCAGCACCTATAAGTCAAACGGCCGAAGCTGAGGACGCAGTACCTATAAGTCAAACAGATGAAGCTGAGGACGCAACAGCTATTAGTCAAACGGTTGAAGCTGAAGATGCAGCAACCAAAAGTCAAACGGCTGAAGCTGAAGATGCAGCAGCTATAAGTCAAACGGTTGAAGCTGAAGACGCAGCCGAAAGTCAAAGAGTTGAAGCTGAAGACGCTGCAGCTGAAAGTCAAACAGTTGAAGCTGAAGATGCAGCAGCTAGTAGTCAAACGGTTGAAGCTGAAGACGCAGCAGCTATTAGTCAAACGGTTGAAGCTGAAGACGCAGCACTTATAAGTCAAAAGGTTGAAGCTGAAGATGCATCTATGAATCAAACAGTCGATAGTAACAAAGAATCACAAGGTCCTGTAGGAAACGACGCCGAGTGTGATGATCCTCCAGAATTGGTATCTCACTTAGAGGAGAAAGAAGACCAGAGCAAACGTGTTACTGAGGAATCTGTTTCTGCGAATTGCCAAGAAAAAGACCCGAAGATCATCGCGGAACCATCATTACAAGAGGAGAACTCAGCTTCTCAGACAGAGAACTTACCGTCCCAGCCTCCTCCTTTGCAATCCAACACAGATCATTCCCAACAACAGGACACAACGCCAAGTGTCGAAGAGGCTATACCGAAGAACTTCACCGAAAATCTAGAGGAAGACAAAAGCTGTGAATGATTGAGACAAAGCAATTCACTCTGTCCTCGTACCCTCTTTGATCTTGGAGTATATTAAGTAAGTGATTTGGTAAGTGATGATGTCTTTAATCTAACCTTTCGGCTGGGTTTGTGATTACGGAATCTTTGTTCTACGAAGCGCTTGTGTACTTTCAACTTTCTGAGCTTAATTAGTGATTGATTCAGTTCTAGTTTAGTAGTTTAGCTTGAACTTATTTTAAGATACTTTTGTTAAATAACTCCTTAATTCGCTGTAGCCTTATAAATTCGTACATCATCAAGTACATTGATGTAATTGTAATACGAGACTCGTGAGGATATAATTTTATTTCTTTCTATTAAAGTAAAGGATTTGAAAAAAAAAGAGTGGAAAACAGAAAGGAAAAACAAAGATTTTTAATTTTATTTTTGAATCTAATTTACAACATGAACTCTATAACAATAACAATACACTGAAGTATTTTTTTTTTGAACATTACATTGAAGTATTAAAGCATAGATAAATTGATTTACAGTGAAGAGAAGTAAAAATTAAAATGAAGAATTCAAAAGTGATTCAGTGCCAAAAACATTCTTGATGATCCGAAAAGAGATTCAAGAAATGCCAATGGTTTTACCAAGAAGCCAGAGAACAAGAGACAGTTCAAGTCCGAAAATTGTATGAAGTGTACCTCTATCAAGTGTAAACCCGTAAACTGTGATTCCTGCTCTGTTATTCTCGAAATAACTCACTACAAAAAAACAAAAATTCCAACCAGACATAATTAAATAGAGACCATAAACATTAAAAAGCATTGCACAAGAATTTTGGCGTTTTGTTTTTTACCTAGAGCTTGTCGTTTTTGGAATGAGATGGTACTGAAAGCATAAGCAGGAATGATGTTATTATTGTCTAGATCATCTTCTTCGTCACCATAATCCTCACTGTCTGATTCAGCCAACGTAATAATATCATCATTGCCTTTGTTATTGTTATGGTTGTTTCTAGCAACCAAAGTTGGAGTCTCTCCATCTGCAGTCTCAAAAGTCTCTAACGTCGCGCACACATGCCATTTCGCAGCTAAACATGTCACAGCTTGAGCCTTGTGTGTGATCTTTGATGCACTTCGTAATAGTATGAGCAGTGCAGTGACTAATGTCATGGAACAAAGCTGAGATAAAGCAAACAAAAAACAGAGTTTCTTTTAATTAAATAGGTTTATTTAGAAACAGGACAGTGACAGGAAACTTACAGCGAGTTCTCCAGCTCTGTAGATATTGACTTCAGTGTAAGCTTTGGTAGTAATAAGCAGAGAAGAAAACTGACTTCCGGTAACGAGAATCAACAAGCATAGAATGAAGGAACGATATCTATGGCTGATGATTCTGAGATGACGTCTGATACGTAGATGTTCAGACAAGATGGAACCAACATCTGAATCAATCTGAAAGAGCTGAGCAAAGTCGTGGAGGCGAAGGATCTGAAGATGACAAATGAGACGGAAGAGAACACAGACAAGGAAGATTACGGTTGTTCTGTAAAGCCAAGAACAGAGCTCCATTACACAAGCGACTGTATCGCTCAAGACAACGTTTCCTAAGAAAGGTATCTGAGATCCACCTGAAGCGTACCACCATATTTTGTATGCGCTCATTGCTAAGAAACATGGGATCACGAAGTAGGAGACTATATGAAGCGACGTCTGCAAGAAAAAGAGAAAAAAAAACAGAGGATATCACAACTTTGTAATTCTTGTGTAACAAGTAATATGGTAAATCCAGATTTTTTACTAGAAAGAAATGTTACAGAAGAAAGTAGCAATCATATGTAATTATTATATTTGCTTTTAGTCTTTGCTACTCAATCTTTTAAAGATGCGTCGAGTAGTTTCCTAACTTTATAATATTCATGATTCTTCTTCTCTTAGCTTGATTTATATTCTTTGTACAATTTACTCCCTCCGTTCCATATTGTATGATGTTTTGGGTTTTTTATTTTGTTCCACAAAGATTGATTTTCTACATTATATTTAATATATTTCTGTTTTCAAAACAATTTTTTAAATAAAAAAGTATAAAAAATTAGTATTAAATTAATAAACAAACAAAAAGTACTTTAAAAAGGTAAATAATCATTGTTTTCTTAATATCTATAAAACATCTAAAACATCATACATTCTGGAACGGAGGGAGTATTTGCCATAAGAATAGAATATTATTTCTTTTACAATAATTGCTATTTTTTCAAGTTGAATTTTTTTTGTGGCAAAGATGAGTTGTCTCTTGGTTGTTTACACTTTACACCATTAGAGGAAGATGTAAAAGATCTATCGCTAGTTTCAACATAATTTTTTGTAGTTCTGTAAAAGTTTACAGATTCACGAAAATGGAAGAAACGATCAAAACACAGAACCATTTCGAAATCAAAATTCCCAGATTTGAGATTTCGAAATCTCAAACCTGAGATGAGGAATAAGGTATAGAGAAACTGACATTGAGTTGATTGGTGTAGTTTCGGCGTACGGTCTCGCTCTCGTCCCAGAGTTTATCGAAGAAGAGGAATCGTCGGAGACCGTATTTGCTAACGAATCTGGTGAGGCAGAGGAAGGAGACGGCGGCGACGCTGCTGAGAGAAAGCTGGACGACGGAGTCGTACGGCCTGGAGTGGTAGCTGTCGCAGTCGGCGCAAGCGAGGAGGAAGTGAGAGATCGCCGGAACCACGAGCGTGAACACGACGAACATCGTCCAGGAGAGGATCGCCGTCCATGGGCTCGAGTGGTCCACGCACATCCATCTCAGGTATTTACGGAAGCTGTGTAGCTCGTCTTGCTGGTGCGAGACGCAGCGATTGAAGACCTTGTTTTTGTTGTTCTCGCGGTTTATCAGCGGCTCTTTCCCGACGACGATGTCGATGTCCGCCATGGACGATCGTTGAAGAAACCCGCTGTGAGAATCAGAGTTTTAGGGAGAGAGAGAGAGAGAGAGAGAGAGAGAAATCGCGTCTGCGTTTTTTTTGTATTCTCCACCCTTTTCAGTTTTTTTTTCTGCGATTGGTGACGCTATGTGTGAACAAGGACAGAAGTAGAGTGAGACGGGAAACGCTATTTATAAGTTTTTCGCGTTTAATGTGTCTTTTGTTTTTGTTTTGTCTTATAAGGTGGTTTATATCTAATTAGCGAAAGATATATTGTGAGGGTTTTGTTTTGGTAAACAATATATTGTGGGAGCTAATTAAGTATTTAGTACTGTAAATGACTACCCATTTTTTTCAAAAATTATATAATAGTGTGCTATTTTTTAGATGACATAATATTATGTTATAACGAGAAATGGTTTGTTATTTTTTTTATAAAATATCATGTTATATAAAATTATCACAATACTGTATATGAAACCATTCACGTGATTTAATGATAATTGTTTAGTGAGTCCACCCCTGGACATAAGCAAACTTTTTAAATGTTTTTATCCGTATAGTAAAAAGAAAATATATTAAAGAGTATAATCATTTTTTTGTCTGGTAAGTAAAATGGAGAATTGAATTGTATATTTTAACATATTTACTAGTTTTTGTATGTTTCTCATGCTCGACCAATGGTGGTAGCAAAAGTAACTTAATATTAGAAACGACCAACGATTAACGACTAACATCAACTGAAACCCAAAAAAAAAAAAAATCGAAGCAGCCAATCCTAAAACTTGAAATGGAATTTATGTGGTATGAAAAAAAATACAATTACAAAGTAGTCAAATCCATCCGCAGTATCAAAGTAGTAAGGCTATGGCATTCATAGAGCCTTACACATATCTTTCCATTTACATATACTAACATAACATCCATCTTTATCACCAAACTCTATTACTCAAGAGGCATGAGTAAGTATTTCAATGATCGCTGATGAAATGCAGAATCAGTTATTCACTAGTAAGTGAGTGTTTCCACTCATAAGACATTTTTTTTGGAAGCCATATATAATATAATCTCGCTAATGACATTGAGTGCTAATGAGAGAGCACAACACATGTCATGATGTCAACAACTTATGATGTGAGATTTGAGAATCTCTGCATCACTTTGTAGATTTCATTTACCGAGTTTTTTTAGAACAACATCAAAAGCCTTCTCTGATGCCAAACATTAGACTTCGGCTCTAACTGGTGATCAAATGAATGAGGAAGAATAATGAATTCCTCTTCATTCCTTAAATTTTTTACCATTCACTAGTAATATTTGTTTTATGTTATTCCTTTTTATTCCTTATTATTTAAAGAATTATAGAACAAAAGTATTCTTTATAAAATGTAGAGAGGAACAAAAAATATTCTTTATTTCTTTATATGTATTTTATTCCTATTGATTTCTTTTTTTGTTCCTTTTATTCTTTTACTTCTCATTCCTATTCTTTTTTTATGTGTCACTAGTTAAAGCCTTCGATTGAGTCTTTTTTAGGGTCGCATCGTAGATTATAAGAAAATAAATGTTGGCTTACATCATTATTTCTTGAAAAAACACTAATTCTGCCAAAAAGAGTTGGTTATAAAACTTAACTTTTAAAACTTGGTTATTGACTTTATATAAATAAATAGAGAAAAAACATCAATTTACAAATAAAATATTTTTTTTATATGTGAACAATACGTTTGTCGTCTTTAACTTTTCGAAATTGTTTTTAAGATTTTTTTGTGATTCGTCGATTTACGAAATTGTTTATGAGTTAATTTTATAAACGTAAGATAAAGAGCTTGTTTGTGTTAAACTATACTGAAAAACATTATTACAAGAAATATTAAGGTGAACACATGCTGTGGAGTGGGCCCCAGTTAACATGTTTTAGGTTTTCTCCGATCACCGTAGAAACATCGCCACGCTTGCCGTTTGGTTTGGCACCATATTCATTTTTCATCACTAAACTATTCGATGTAATGTAAGAAACCAAAATAGCATTTTTTTTTTTTAATTTATATCATTAGATCAATCAACTAGTACGCTCCTTTTTAACGTACGATGAATTTTTTTACTAAATTATTATACAAAGATCTTAAAGAGCTGCTAATAACTTATAACCACCGGCGGGAGATGTCTTAAGTTTACTGGAAGAAAAGTATAGTTTTTAAAAGGCATCTGAATGTGCAACTCAATCAATGCTTATGATCAATCGAATACGTATTTATTTTAATTGAAATTTTAATAATTGTGAATTATTTGAAACGAATTCGTTTGTTTGTATCTGCTTTATTACTTGTGACCATGTCAGTGCCTTAGTGGCTATGTTTTATAGACTAAAACACGTAATTTAAGTTATTTCACATGTTTATTATTAATCATACAATTTCATGAATTAATTTGTCTACCACAATTTCTTGTGGTTATTTGATCTAATTTCACGATTTTATTCCAAATTATTATTTTGCATATATATAACTTATCCTTTTACAATTGTTTTTTGGAATATATATGGAAACGTTATGTCCAAAACTGATGCATGTCTTCCGTCCGGGTGTTAGTCAGAGTCACCTTCTATTTTATACTGTCCCAATAATCATTTTTGCATGCTTTAAAACTTCGCCTCTAAACCAAAAAAACACTTGGTTAATTGGTTATATGATTTTGACATTTATTATGTTGCTAATTTGAAATCTCATGTGCTTTATTTATCGACTGTTTGTTTATGTTTTTGTTTGAGTTTCTCTGTTACAATATTATTATCGTTGTAACATGTAAACGCAAAATTTGTTCAAAAAAAAAACATGTAAACGCAAATACAAAGAAACAATCAGTACTTAGATAGTTATATTGAGTTGCTTGATATCAATTCATTACGTTGATCATATATTTTAATCTTGTACGTAATTATCATAGGATAAAAAATGAGCAAAAAGTTTATATGTTTATATAAACGTATGATTGGGATTATTTTGGACCAAATCTGATGCATGCCAATAATTTATAATGTCGGCCTTCTTAAAATCCTAGCATAGGCTTATGGATAGCCCAGGCCCAGTAATAAATTAACAAATATAACTACTCAATTATGACTAGTTTCCAATTCAAAATTTTTGTTGTTAATCCGCGAAATGGTAAAATGACAGAATCAATGAGATTCAGAAAAATATGCGATACAATTTTGCGTAATCGCTGCAATTAAGTTAGATATTCATATTTTTCTTATTTTTTTTTTATAATTTCGTTCTTTCTATATTAGCTATTTAGGAAAAAAAAAGCAGGACTATATGCATACACAAGATTGAACAGAACAGGTAATACAAAGAAAACAGTAAAAAGCAAGTGAGTTTGTTTCAGACCCAAGGGTCGTTTAACCGTTGTCTGAAAGGTGGCAGAAAAAAAGTAAAGTAGATACCCGATTTTGAGGGTAACGCCGAACACAAAATCTAATCTAATGAGTCAAACACGAAACGAATCTGCCTGCCACCGAATACCTCCTCCAAAATTAAATATCGAAAACATCATTTTGCGCACCAAACTCAACCAAAACACTTGTCTCAATTTACCTAAAATTTTATTTAACAAACTAAAAAGCGGTTTCAAAATGCTTTAACATACCATTAGAAAAGAAAAGAAAAAAAACAAGTTTTAAAAAGAGTTCTTAAAAATTAAGTGAATAGTACTAAATCAATTAGAGCACACATTTAAACTTTCAAAAATCCTTACTAAACTTAAAATTTAACAACGTTAACAAAATTATAATTTTAATGCCATTGTAATATTAGAACACAAAACCTAAGATCTAAGCAATTCTATGATTTGCCCAAATCAACCAAACTGTTCAAATCCAATGCCATAAGAGTTAAGAAACAAGCTTCAATAATCATACTTCTAGCTTACTTTAACCACAGGTGTAAACTTTAACCACCCTCGATTGTAAAGAAGCTACATCTCTGTGGAAGATCTGCTCTTGAGTCGAATCCAAGCCTAAAATGTTCTTTTGTGTAAATAATAATGTGAAAATTGCAGAGCTCATGAAGATGAAGACAAGAGTTATAAAACGAAATCTAAAGAAAGATTCTAGATTTTGATTATTTAGAATCATCGGTTCCAAATGTATATGTTACAAAGAGAGGGGTTGATCTTTCTCAAGAAACAGATTGAAAAAAAAAAACGAAAACCCAGATCTGCTTTTCCTTACAGTAAACAAACAAACACAGATCATCGTTCGTCTTTTCCTCTTCTTGATTTGAAGATGTAGTAATAACAATCATATCGATACTCTTACAATAATATCATCAGAGAAGAAACAGAACCAGCACAAGCTCTTCACCATATCTTCTTTCTTTCTTCTTCTTTTCTTTCTATTTCTCCCGCATAGTAAAAATATTATGAGATCAAAGAAACAGAAACTTAAAAAAAACAATCTTTGTGAAATACAAAAAAAAAAATGGAGAAGGGGATTTTTTGGGTATTTCATGGAATCATCAAATCACGGATCTGTGATTTTTTTTTTTTCGTTTTACCCATTCATTAGAGACGTAGATCGGTGCAGTGAAGATCATCTGTGCCGTTGAAGAAATCAACATCATCCAACGGTGGGAAATTAAGATCGAATTGAAACGGCGGATTCCGACGACGGGAAGAGGACGCGAGGTCGTCGTCTCCGTCGTCTATAACGGAAGACGAGGAATCGCAATCGCTGTGACAATCCTCGGGGACTACAGGCGGAGTTCTAGGATATCTCTTCGTCGTCGACGGCGGTTTCGCGACGGAGCTCGTCGCCGTAGGTCTCGGTCCGCTGAACGATTCGACGGTGCTGCTCATGCTGCTGCTAGTCGGCCGGCTAACAATCGGGTACTGCTGCTCCGGGAGGTTGGAAGAAGCTCCGGCGTATAACCGATGGTCCATAAACGGATCGACCTGGTTTTGATTCTGATTCGCGGCGAAAGAGGAAAATCGAAGATTCTGCTGTTGT